ATCCTCCCTACCATTCCCCCCTCCCCCATCCCCTCGTCCCTTCCACCAACCCACACGCCTCTGTCTCCTTGTCCTCCCCACCATTCTCCATTCCCCTATCCTCTCGTCCCCGACTGCCCCGTCCCCTTGTCCTCGCCACTATTATCCCTCCCCTGTCCTCTTGTCCTCCCCAAAATCTCCCACTCCCGTCCCCTTGTCCTCCCCAACATTTCCCACTCCCTAGTTCGATGCATTCCCAAACGATCTGATGATCTCAACAGAAAAGTAAGAACATCAAATGATCTGATGTTCCCATCACTGAAATATAAGAAAAACAGATAAATAAACGAAATGAAAAAAATGAAAAAATAAAAAAATAAACTATACTCAGGAAATGAACGGTATGGTAAACACAGCTCAATTTCAACCCAATGTCACACAAAATAAATTAAATCAAAATGAAAATAAATCTAAATTTATGAAAATTTAATTTATCAATGCAATCGGAAACATTGAAAAGTAATCGTAACTTATTTAGTCTAGCGTGATTTGCTATTACGTGCAACAGATGGCACTTTTTCAAAAAAGCATGTTTTTACATGTCACAGGTGTGGCATCTATATAGTTGGTATATAAAAACATGTGTGTATTCAAATGGAACGTTGTATCAAAATTTCAAAGCAATCGATGAAGAACTTTTGGAGATTTCAGCGTGTGTTGCTCTTACGTCCAACAGATGGCACTGTTTTTTAAAAAAAAGCATGATTTTTCCTGTCACAGGTGTGGCATGCATATAGGAGGTATACAAAAACACGTGCCTATTCGAATGCAACATTGTCAAAATTTCAAAGCAGTCGGTAAAGAGGTTTCGAAGATTTCCCTCCCATGAAAAACACTTGAAAAAATAGTTTTTTAAAAAAAGTCAGACGTGACATCTATATAATACGTATATATAAACCCGCTCGGATGCGAATGGAACGTTGTGTGAAAATTTAAAAGCAATTGGTGAAGAACTTTCTGAGATTAGCTATTTTGAACAAACGACCATTTGCATTTTTATTTATATAGATATATATATATATATATATGCTAGCAGTACCCGGCCACGTATTGGCCGGGTACTGTTAGTATATATTCCTGTCCCCCTGGAACCTTCCCTGTCCCCCAGTCCCCTCCCCCCCCCCAGTCCTCTCCCCCCCCCCAGTCCTCTCCCCCCCCCCACAATTCCCCCCCTCACCTGTCTCCTCGGCCTCCCAACCATTCCCCACTCTCCTCTTCCTTCCCACCATGCCCCACTCCCCTGTCCCTTTGTCTTACCCACTATTCTCCATTCCTCATCCCCTCGTCCCCACTATCCCAAACTCCCCCCGTCCCCTCGTCCTTCCCCCACCATTACACCCTCCCTTGTCCCCTCGTCCTCCCCACCATCTCTCGCTTCCATCCCCTCGTCATCCCCACTCCCTCGTCCGATGCTTCCCAAATGGTCTGAAGTTCTCATCAGAAAATTGGAAACATCAAGTGATCTGATGTTCCCATCACTGAAATATAAGAAAAACAGGTAAAAAATGAAATGAAAATATGAAAAAGTAAAAAAAAATTAACTTTACTCACAAAATGAATGGTATGGTAAAAACACAGCTCAATTCCAACGCAATTCACACAAATTAATTAAATCAAAATTAAAATAAATCAAAATCTATGACAATTTAATTTATTAATGCAATCAGAAATATTGAAATGGAATTGTAACATATTTAGTATGTTACAATTTAGTATGTTATATTTGGTTCCCTCTCAGGTTCGAACTTTGCTGGGTCTTGTTTGCTGGGTCTCGGACTGCTTCCTTGTCTCTCCCTCGTGCGATGCTGTTATGGCTGCGGTCCTGCCTCCGGCTGTTTTTGGAGGGCACCCGGGTCACACGTTGGTTGTTCGGGAGACTGTGCAGGAGCCTGAACTTCGCCGTGCTGGTCTACCTATCGGGTCGGATCTGGCTTCGGCGGATGTTCTGGTTTCTGCGGGGTCATCCCTTCCGCCTCTCGCGCGATTGATGGGTTCGGATCTTGGAAGCCTTGCATCAGCTGCTGCATCGCCGGCTTCCTCTGCGGGTTTTTCCGGTTTCTGTGCCGTGGCACCTCCCCAAGCCCTCGCTCGATGTGTTCATGGATGCCTCATCTCTCGGCTGGGGTTTTTGTGACAAGTGCTCACCGGGCCGGCCAGGGTTGGTGGGGTCTGTCCTTTCGTCGAGCTCACAGCACAGCACAGGAGTTTGCGGCGGTGTGGCATTTGCTTCAGAGGATTGGGGTCGCTCGAGGAGCAACGAACCGGCTCCATTCGGACTGCTCCCCGGTGGTTCATTGTTTGAACTGCGGGAGACTCGATGCGGTCCTTGGTTCTTTGGGGCTGGTCACTTCGGGTGATTCGTCTGCTGAGTTCTCGGGGTTTGGCTCTTCTGGCAGTTCATGTTCAAGAGGTGTCAAACGTCCTGGTGGACGGCCTTTCTCGATTCCTCTTTCCACGGAATGGACGGTCGACGCCGACTCGTTCAGTTGGCTCTGCCGGAGGTACGGGCGCCCAGAGGTGGACCTCTTCGCATCGGCATGGTCGAGGCGTCTTCCAGTTTATGTGGCGCCCTTCCCAGACTGCGAAGCCGTCGGGGTCGATGCCTTTTGGCTGGACTGGTCGAGGTGGAGTTACCTGTACCTCTTCCCACCGGTCCAGTTGTTGCTCCGGATCCTGGCTCGGTTGGAGACTTATCAGGGGAGAGTAGTCCTGTAGGCTCCTTGATGGCCGGCCCAGCCTTGGTTTCAGGAGCTTCATGCTCGTTGTCCGAACCCGAGGGTCTTCCCGCGGCTCCACCTCTTTCAGTACAGTAGTTCGATCCGGTCCGGTACGTGGCTGGTTCGATCTTCTCTTCCATTCTTCGCATCTGGTCTTTTTGACGCGGGTGTATCATCACTTGTATGGTGATCAGGTGGCTTCTTTGATGGTGTCCCACCTATGAGTTTTCTCTAGATGGCAGTATGAAATTTCCTGGCGGTCCTTTCGGCATTTTTTGTTTCTACGTCGGTTGTCTTTGATTTCTGATCGGGTTGTTTTGTCCTTTTTCTCTTGGTTGTTTCAGGACTGTCATCTTATGCCTAATACTGTTGCCTCGTATTGTGCAGCGCTGGCGGAGCCGCTACAGCTTGCTTTCGGGGTGGATGTCACTTCTGCTCCGTTTCGCAAGTTTTCTCGGGCGTTTTTTCACCTCCGGCCTGCTCATGCGCTGCCAAAGCCGTCCTGGTCGTTGGACCGAGTGCTCTCTTTTCTCCCTCCTCCTTGGTTTGTGGTGGCCCCTTGGTTCAGGATTGTTTTTCTAGGGCTCTTTTCTTGTTGGCTTTGGCCTCTGGGTGTCGGGTTGGGGAGCTTCATGCTCTCCTCCGGCGAAAGGGTTTTTGCTCTTTCGGTCCTGGTGGTCGTTTCGTTCGTTTGCAGCCTTCTCCTTCTTTTCTGGCGAAGACTGAGTCTGCTGCTTTCCGATGGAGTCCTTGGGTTGTTGATGCTTGGTTGGTTCGGCCAGGGGTGCATCATGTTTTGTGTCCGGTTGCGGCTCTTCGCCGTTATCTGCACGCCACGGCCTGCGTAGCAGGGGACGCACTTTGGGTGGACCCGGTTTTCCTTCTTCCCTGTTCCAGGGTGCGGGTCTTCCAGGTCGTCTGCAGGATTATTCGGTCCAGCCAGCCTGCGGTCTATCCCCGTGCACATGACGTTCGTAAGTTCGCAGCTTTGGCTGCTGTTTTTGGGAATATGTCCTGGGCTGACATTCGGGCACAGGGTTTTTGGAGGTCGAACAGGGTCCTGGCCGCACGGTATCTTGTTAATGTTCCTGGCCCTTCTCGGGTGTGTGTAGCCTTGGGTCGCAGGTAGCAGCCAGTTGTCTTGACTTCGAGTTGAGGAGCGAGTGACGACCGCCTCCCAGGTAAGTCCCTCTTTTTTTATTTTTTTATTTGGTTTTGTAGCTCTGAGGAGCCAAAGGGGCTCTCCACAGAAAACCAGCGTTGAATGTAATGAAACCCCATTTTCTAGACGAGACCTGGAGGCTCCCCGGCATCCCTCCCCTCCTTCCCCGCGTGTTTTTTGCATTTTTTGATACTCGGCCTGTGAACTGGGGAGAGTTGCTGGCACAGAGGTCTAGGACCCCTTTGTCCCCTTCCTGGGGAGGGGGGGGGGCTTGCGCAGACGGATGCGCGGTGTTTGTGGTGACGTCATACTGGTTTCCTTGGTTTTGATTGGAGAGTTCTGTTGTTAGTTTGGCTTTTGGTTTGCAATTATTTAATCAGCAGTAGTTTTTTTGGAATTCCTACCTTTCTGGGTGCCTGACCTGGTAGATGGCAGACAAAGACTGCTTCCAATTACACGGGGGTGTCTTTAGGTCATTGCTCCTCGTGCCTCTCTTGAGGCAGCCAGGTTCTGGCTCTGGTCCCCGGTAGGCCTAGAACTCCTTCGAATGAATTGCCACTGTTTAATATATTCACATCAGCCCGATATAGCTCCGGGGAGCCTCCGGGTCTCGTCCAGAAAATGGCGTTTCATTACGTTTGATGCTGTTTTTTTCAGGACAATTTGTTGATGCACCACAGAGGGGGTGTCAAATTTAACATGTTCATATTTCAGGGATTAAGGAGATTTATTATAATTAATCAAATATACAAAATATGTAATAAATCAATTTACGATTTACTTGTTCAGTGTGATGGGTCACCTTCCTGATGCTTGTTATTTTGGGCCAGTCTATAGTTAATGCAATAACATGCAGTATTTCATTCTTTAAATTGTTTTAGCATTAAAACATTTTTATTGAGCTTTGGTTATGGTATGCAACATTAGAGTACTGATCATTATTTATAGTTTGTAAACAGTTTACATAGTCTAAGTTTGCTGTGGTAGTAAAGGAGTTTGTAAAAATATTAGTGTAGCCTATTTATGCTGTAGTAGGGAAAAAGCTGAATAAAACTAAATGTTGTATTTTTTAAATTTGTCAGGTGAAATATGGCAGGAGGCGAAGAAATACCCATTGTACCGAGTATTGGGTTTGCCTGAAGAATATATTTTAGTTGGCGTAACTCAGGATGCTGAGCAGGAAGAATTTTGGGACGAGTCACGTCGGCTGTGTGACTTGCGGCTTTTCTCCCCTATACTTAAAATTGTGGAGCCACGTGGAAGCAAGGAGGAGAAAATCCTTAACTATGAGATTAGTAAGTGGGACAAATTATATCCAAGAATAAACAAAATATATAATATGTGGATGCAGGCACATTCAGTACTTTGTTTCACATTGCAGTATGTTTTAGTACGGTTCATATCTTGTAATGTTCCTTGCTGGGATATAATGTTCTCTTTACCACTAATCTGATTTAATATGTATCATTAGTTATTCACATTGTGTCAGCAAGGCGGACAGCCAGCCTGCTTTCATACCTCTCACTGTATTTCCCACTTCTTTACTTCCCTTCACCTATGCCTCTCAATCCTCTTTACTCCCCCCCCAAAAAAAAAGTTATTGTTTCTTGACACTTTGTTGCTATAAGAACATAGCATGAATATTAATGAGACTGCGATAGGCATATTGGCCAATACAAAGCAACTCGTACAACAAGATACGATTGTTGTGAACAGACCTTTTCATTATTCTTGGTCCATCTGCTTACACTAGTTGGTACAGTGATGGTCTCACTTTTTGTAGATCATAGTTCGATCTCTGATGGTTCAAGTAGATGAGCCCCATTCCCTTACTCTGCCATCCTATCCCAGCTCCTAGCTTGTCCTCGTATCCCTTTCCAGTGCTATATTGTCATACTGGCATAGTGCTTTTTCCTGATAATTTCCTTACCTATTCTTGACCAAATACTCTCCTAAATGCAGGTCTGGCTATTGGACGATCTGTGCATGACCTGGAGGACCTCAAGGATGCTGAGCTGCAGGAATTCAGGAGAAATATTATTGAGGTGAGTCATGTGTGCTCAGAGGAAATGTCAACCACTCGTGTATCAAGAGTTTTGCCTTGAATCTCCTCAGGCAGTCTTAGTAAGCACACTGAGGGGTGACACAGGTGTAATCACCTAAATGTAGTTACAGGATGAGAGCTAAGCTGTGTCCCGTCTTCCCATTACTCCTTGTCATAGAACGTTTTGAAGTTATTGACTGTTTTGGCCTCCACCACCTTCTCACTTGACTTGTTCCAACTGTCTACCACTCTGTTTGCAAAAGTGAATTTTCTTGTACAGTATTTCTTTGGCAGCTTTGTTTAGTTTAAATATATGACCTCTTGGTCTTGAAGTTCCAGGTCTCTGGAATTCTTCTCTATCAATTTGATTGATTCCAGTTACTATTTTGTACATAGTGATCATATTGCCTCTCTTTTTTTTTTCTTGTATCTTCTAGTTTTGGCATATTTAATGCCTCTAACCTCCCCTCATAGCTCTTGTCCTTCAGTTCTGGGAGCTATTTAGTTGCAGGTCTTTGTACCTTTTCCAGTTTGTTGATGTGCTTCTTTAGATATGGTCACCACACAACAGCTGCATATTCTAGCTTTGGTCTAACAAAAGTCGTGAACAGTTTTAGTATTTCGCCATCCATGTATTTATAAGTAATTCTGAAGTTAGAAAGTGTAGCATAGGCTCCTCACATGTTTTTATGTGGTCCTCGGGTGATAGTTTTCTCTTGAACCACCCCTAAATCTCTCTTTATCAGACTTTTTAAGGATTTCTCACATATTTTATAGGATGTGGGGTCTATGTTCTCCTATTCCACATACCATAACATGGCATTTATTCACATTAAATTCGATTTGCAAAGTGGTGATCCATACACTTATTTTGTCCAGGACTTCTTCAAGGGCATGACAATCATCTAAGTTTCTTATCTTCTTATCTTAGCATCATCACCAAACATGTTCATATACAGTAATTCTGTATTCCATCTGGTAGATCGTTTATGTAGACAATGAACATTACCGGTGCAAGAACTGAACTCTGTGGTACTCCACTTCTGACATTTCTCCAGTCTGATACATTGCCTCTAATTATTGCCCTCATTTTTCTATCAATTAGAAACTTGTTCATCTATGTTAGTATCCTACCTGTCACTCCTCCAATATGCTCCAGTTTCCAGAACAACCTCTTATGTGGAACTCTGTCGAAAGCCTTTTTTAGGTCCAGATAGATGCAGTCAATCCAACCATCTCTTTCCTGTCAAATCTCTGACTCTATCATAGAAACTAGGCAGATTTTTTTTCATAGGATCTTCCTGATTGAGAATCATCATCTATTTGATATCATGTCATTTCTCTTTAGGTATTCTACCCATTTGGTTTTGATTATTTTTTCTCGTGTTTTGACAACTATGCTTGTCAATGATACAGGTGTTTAATTAAGAGGGTCTTCTCTACTACCGTTTCTGTGGGTAGCACTTTGACTCCCTGGAGCTAGTCGGGCTAATATGCGATACATTAGACAGGTCATTAGTCAATGGAGTTCAGCCTACTGGGGACCACGAGCCAATACCTGGCCCTCTCTGAGAGGCACAGGAAGCAATGGCCCTGGAAAACCCCCATGTGGTTTGGGGTTTCCTTATCTGCCATGGGCTGGGGTTAGGCACCAAGAAAGGTAGGCATAGACAAAAAGACCCCACATGGTAAGAAAATTGCAACCAAGCACCGAACAGAGTGGCAAAACTTCCTCAATTCCCAACGAAGCGAGCAAACGTCGCACCTTGCCGCCGCGCCGCTTGTCTGCATAGCCCTCCCCCCTCCCCGGGAGGGGGAGAGGGAGCCCCCGGCTTCCCAGCAACTCCAGTTTGTTGGCTAATGCAATCCGGGGTGGTCGTCAACTCTGGCCTCGATTTCCTGGCAGTTTTGCCTTGGTGGTTTCCTCTGCTGTTCATGCTGTAGTGGCCAGGTATATTTGAGTGTACTGTACTGGGGCTGCATGTGCTTTGGGCAGCCTTTCCCAAGTACCCTGTGAGTACTACACTTGAGTGTCAGGGTTATCTTCCCCGGTGTTTTCGGGACGCCATTTCTGTAGGGGTTTCAGCTGATCGGCATTTACCTCGCCCTTGGGGCCAGCTGGGATTTAGTGTCCCTTGTTTGGCCATGGGTAGGGAGTGGTATTGTTGCTGGTTGGGGAGTCAAGGTGTTGCACAGCTAGCTTACCTATGCAGTGGCCGGTTTGTTTCCTCTGGGACTTACATTTGCGGGTTTTTCTTTTACTTTGTTTTGTTTGCCTGGTGTGGCTATGGGTCCACTTGTAATATTTTGGTGGCCCTCCACTAGGCCCCATGATTATACACATCGCAGGGGTTTCAGTGTTTTGATCTTCCCCCATGTTAGCTTTGGGTCTTACCAGTTAGCAACACCTTGCCCGGGCTTTTCGTTGCAATCAGCCTGCAGGGCCTAGAAAACCCTGTCGGGGCTCGGTGGCTCTATGGATGCATCTTCCGAGTTCCAGCTCACCTTGTGCGGGTTTGAAGGTTGCTGTGTGCCCTTGTCTCCTTGTGACAGTCACTGCTTTTGTCTCAGTTATACTACCTGTTGGGTCAACGATACCTTTGATTCGGAGTCTGACAAGGTGTGTTCTCTGCTTGTTCTCCAATTTACCCATTCTGATGACATTGATATTTGGGTATAGGCAGCTTAGGTTGTTGCAATGCTCTAGGTTGGTTGCCCACTCTGATGCCCTGAGGCTATCCTGTTTTGGTTAGGCGGCGTTCGTTCTGTCCCCATCCCTTCTCTTGCTCTCTGTTCCGAAACGTCCGAGGGTTTCGGGGTCTGGGCGGGGTTTTAGTTGGTGGTGAGACTCGGGTGGCTTCGGGGGCTGTTTTGGTGGTTTTGGTCCTTTGTGGTTACCAAGCACCGGGGCACACAGGTTACCTCCTGTGTGCCCCGGACTTGTCTCTTCTGGAGTTCCAGGGGTCTTCCTGGCTTGAAGACTGCACTTCCTGGGTCTTAGCTTCTGCTTGTCGAGGTGGGATTTTGGTGCAGCTTTTGTGCCGGTGCCACCTCCTGGATCCGTCTTCGTCTGTTCGGCGCAGTGCTCTCAAATCAGCTTCTTGCTTTTCTTTTGTTTTTATTTTTTCCCTCTTGGAGGGAGGGGGGGGGGTGCTGGTCCCTTCATGGGTCGCCTCATTGCGGGGGTAAGCTTGCTCTGTTTGCCCATGCTTAGTCCCCCCCCACGATTCATGGGAGGTTCGGGTCGTGTCTCTGGCCTGTGGTGGCGTTGGGCGGCTCCTCCTCCTCTTAGGGGGTTCGGCGCTCGTGGGGTGGGCTTCTTCCCCTTCGCCCCGTCAGGTCATCTTGTTCCAGTCCTGCAACGGGACTGTGCGGGTCTTTGGTTCATTCTGGTTTTGACCTTTCTATACTGCTGGCTTCCTTGTGGATGTGTCTGCCCTGGGTTGTTGGGTGGTGTGTCTGGCTGTTCGGGTCACGTGTTGGATGTCCCGCTTCCTACGGGGTTCAGGGACTGGTTCGTTTTTGTGATGGGGCAGCTTGCTTTTCGTCTTCATTGCCTTTCCTTTAACCAGCTTCTGGCACCTCGCATTTCCATGTTTTACCTGGTTTGTGGTTGCCCAGCTATGTCTGCTAGGTATTCGGGTGTTGGTTCACCTCGACGGCTGATTGGTGTGGGCTCCCAACCAATCTGCTTATTTGCGGGGTGATTCTTTTCTGGTTCACTGGGTTTGGGTCCTAGTGGACTGGAGGAAGTTCCATCTGGTTCCACCCCAGGTTTGGGCCTGGCTGGGTCTTGTTTGGGACACTCCGACTGCTTCCATGTCTCTTCCTCCGGCGTGATTGCTGCAGCTGCAGTCCCACCTTCGGCTATTTTTGGAGGGCACCTGGGTCACTCATTGGTTGTTTGAGCAGCTGTCTGGGAGTCTGAACTTCGCCGTGCTCGTCTACCCGTCGGGTCAGATCAGGCTTTGGCAGTTTTTTGGTTCCTTCAGGGATATCTGAAGGAAACAGAAGACGACATTGGATGCGTCGTCTCACGCCTGGTGTTTTGTGACCAGTGCTCACCAGTCCGGCCAGGGGCAGTGGGGTCTGTCCTTCCATCGGTTTCACAGCAAGGTGTGGGAGTTCACGGCGGTGTGGTTTTTTTCCTTCAGAGGGTTCATGTTGCTCATGGATCAACGATTTGGCTCCATTCGGACTGCTGCCCGGTAATTCATTACCTGAACCGAGGTGTTTCGATGCAGTCTTTGGCTCTTTGGAGCTGGTTGCTTCGGGTGACTTGTCTGCTAAGTTCTTGGGGTTTGGCTCTCCAGGTGTTTCATATCCAGGGGTTATCTTGAGATGATTTGGGGTGACCAAAGTTCTGGCAGATGGCCTGTACCATTTCATTTCCCTGTTCACAGAATGGAAGGTTGATGCTGACCCGTCAACCATCAACCTGCTTGGTCGTTTGCTTTGCCGGACGTTCGGGTGCCCGGAGATGGACTTATTCGTGTCTGCCTGTTTGAGGCGTTGTCTGGTATATGTGGTGCCCTTCTCTGAATGTGAGGCAGTCTGGGTCGATGCCTTTTGGCTGACCTAGTTGAGGTGAGGGTTACCTGTACCTCTTCCCCCGTGGTTCAGTTGTTGCTCCAGGCCCTGATTCACAGGGGAAAGTAGTCCTATTGGCCCCATGGTAGACGGACTAGCCTTGATTTTAGGCCCTGCTTGGGCGGTGTCCAAACCCGATGGTCCCTCGGCTCCGCCTCTTTCTGCGGATCGGTCCGGTCCATTACGTGGCTGGTCCGATCTTCACCGCTCTTCCCGTCTGGTCTCTTTGATGCGGGCGTATCACCACCTGTATGATGATTTAGATGACTTTGATGATGGTGTCCCACCTGCGAGTTTCGTCTCGGCGGCAGTATGAAGTTTCCTGGCAGTCCTTTTGGCACTTTATCTCTTTGTAGGTTGTCTTCAATTTCTGACTGGGTTGTTTTGTCATTTCTTTCTTTCTTGGTTGTT